AGCTCAGATGTTGCTTTTTCAATACAGTTTTTTCAATAAAAGGAACTAGGATTCTTTGAAAAAAAAAAAAAATGACTCTGGGTCAGCAGAAGTTCAAGATGCCAGAAAGCAAACAGGCACTTGAGAGACCCGTCAAGAAGACACAGGGGCTAGCTTGAAGGAACTCTGACAGGAGGAATTTGGGGAAAAATCAGGCATTCAAAAGAATAATGATGGTGCTGGATTATAACACATTGAATAAAAACAAATCGAATATGTATTTCCAGAAAAAGAAAAACTGCCAGTTCATGAAAGCAGAATGAATCCTAGAATTAGAAAAATCACTGTTTTCCCAATATGGTAATTGATTCAGGCAAGGATGATAAATGGATGATACACCATGAGGTGAAATTTTGTTGTGGAACAGCACAGTTTGACAGTCTCACGGTCTTAGCCTGGAAGTCACGTACTGATTACAAAAGGGAGAAAGTACCCCTCCGGTAGAGAAGTATGACACACACCTCAAATGATCTAGCTTCACAGGAGCGGTTACGAGACAAACTGACATAATGGGTTGCATAATCTAGTGTTTCTGTGAAAAATGTTTTATGCTGGGGACAGTGACTGTAAGAGGCCATCAGCATCCTGGCTTAAGAGATAAAAAATGGTGGAGAACAGTGTACCCTAAAAATAGGTGAAATACAGACTTTTGTTTTAAAGTAAAATTTCCTTATTGTCATTTTCAAATATAACTTTAATTTTTACCCAAGTGACAAAGGTAAATTGTTCAAAAGGATTACCTGGTTGGGTCACAGGCTTATTCCAGGACTTAAAAAAAAAAAAAAAAAAAAAGAGTCCTTTCTCTGCCTGCTCCTCTGCTCCTCACGGGCAACTTCAGTTCCTTTTGCTGATGGTATTTACCTTCATACCTCTGGTAATGTGCTTATTATACGTTTGGCATTTCTCACTTTAAGCATTAGCTGTTTACTTCCTAAAGGGAAGGTGATTATCCAGGCCTCTCCTGTCTTGCTGGGAAGCCCCACTACCACCATTGTACCCATGCACATTTCCCAGGCACTGTGCTGTCAACATCATTATGTTCTAATCATGTTTAGAGCAGTATCCAGTGTTAATATTAGTAGGACTCTGCAAAAACCATCCACAGCTAACCAATGTTGTGTGTATATTACAGTTGCATTTCCTTTCCTGAACAACATTTTTGTTTTCCTTTGGTCTTTTTTCTTTATTTATATTTATCATTAATTCAACCATAAATTCTTCCTATTCTGTAAATCTCAAGTACACTCAAAGGTATTTGGAATGTCCATCTTCTAGAAATTTCTCTGTAGCCATATGCCCTGCTCTAATTTAGATGGTGTGCTGTACACAAAAGTGTATAGCTTAATGGATTATAAGGTGAACACCCTTGTGACTACCACTCAGATAAAGACCTAGGCCTCTGCCCCATATAGCCCTTCTGTGCGGCCTCTCCCATTCCCAGCTCCTTTCCCCCAAAGTAACACGGCTCACAGAGCAGTCACTTTCTTGTATTTCTAAAAGATGGTTTAATCACCCAAATGTGTATCCCTGGAGACTTTAGTCTTACTCTTTTAAAAAAATTATTTGAGATGTCTTTTTTCGGGGGGGCTCGAACTCACAACCCTGAGATCAAGACCTGAACTGAGATTTAAGAGTCAGACACTCAACCGACCGAGCTACCCAGGTGCCCCTGAGATGTCTTAAGTTTCTTTTTTGCTCTATAGATGACTTCTCCATTCCCCTTTCCCCTGTTCTTCTATTGAAGAACTGAACCATTTGACCTTTAGAATTTTCCACAGTGTGACTTTTGCTGATTACACACTCATGGTACCACCCAGTAGGTCCCTCTGTCCTCTGTGTTTCTTTCCTTTTTTAAAAGCAGTTTTATTCAAGTCTAACATACAGTAAACAGCACATACTGACTGTGTCTGCATAATATGTCTGCACCCACGAAAAGATCGCCAGCATCAGTATAATAAATACACCTATCACCCCCCAAAAGTTCCTTGTGCCCCTTTGTAATTTCTCCCTATTGCCTCTCCCTATCTCCTGTGCAACTGAGGATCTGCTTTCCTTATTATAGGTAGGTTTGTATTTTCTAAGATTTTACATAAATGGAATCATGCAGTGCGCATTCTTTTTTTTTTTTTTTTCTTTTGGCCTGGACTCTTTCATTCAGCATAATTATTTTGAGATTCATCCCTGTTGCAAGTTTGGGTACTTTCTTCCTTTTTTATTGCTGAGTAATATTCCATTGTGTGGATACACTACTGTTCATCCATTCAGTTATTGATAGAAATTTGGATTACTCCCAGGTTGTATCCCCTGTATTTCTTCCAAATTGGCAGCTGAGCTGGAGATTTTTATCAGACTCCAGGTCAGTCTGTAGGAGACACAGAATGTCTGGTTTCTCTCCTGTTGTGATGACAGTAGCAATAGTTGCTTAAGGTTTATACCTGTTAATTCATGGGTGGGAGGTTGGGGAAGAAGAGTTGGTTGCAAAATGATTGGAATTCTAAGTTTACAATTTATTTTTCATTTTAAGTCAGAACACTCTTTAAAGAGCTACTTCCCCTCATCTGCTACTTGGTTGTCCAGTGGTATATCTCATATGGGGTAGGGTAAATTCTCCTTTCCCTTAATTTACCTGTTTTCAAGATACCCACCCAGCTCTCACTTCTTTGAATGAAACCTGTTGTTTTTGTTTTTGTTTTTCTGTTGGAAAAACTGGTAATCTCTTTGTGGCACCTGTTTTGAAATTTCCAGTGATGTATCTCAGTGTTTTCTTCCATCAAGGTGGGCACTGATGGACTCTCTTACTCTTGGAAAACCAGTTCTAGAAAATACTAGAGCCTTTTCTTTGATTTCTTCCCCTCTAGTTCATTCTCTTTCTGTGACACCCATTACTGAGATTTTGCACCTGCTGGGTTGGTTCTCTAATTTTGTCCTTTATCTTCTTTTTCTAAATTTTTTGGGGAATTTCCTGAATTCTTTATGTTCAGCTTATCATTTCTGCCATGATCATATTTTTATTTTCCAAGAGTGCTTTCTTGTTTTCTGTTGTTGTCATTTTAAATAGCCTCTCTTCTTGTTTCATGGATGTAGTATTTCCTCCCTGAAAACAATAAGTTTCTAAATAAAGTTTTCTTCTAATGTTGATTGCGTCTCTTTCCTCCAAGTTGTCTTTTTCTCCTTGTGGGTTTGACTTTTCATAGTGGAGATTTTCTTTGAATGTCTGATGATCTTTGGATATGTAATCATATTGATCAATAGGGCATTGTCTAGGATATTTCCTTAGGGAAGACTCAAGGTCAGTATCATTAGATATTTTTGTGATTAATAGTATTCAGAAATCCAAGTGGGGAAAAGAAGGCTGGAGAGGTCTCAACTTTTAATATGTGTATTTTTCCTTGGTCTCCCTCTTTTTCCAGCATAGTATCCCTCCATTCTGAACTCTTTCCAGAGTCCAGAGACCATCTGTTTTACTCTTGCCAGAGGAGAAAACCTCCATTCTTATTCCATGAAGAGGCAGTCAGCTATTGTATTGAGTCAGGGAAGGGATCTGGGATCTGTTTTTCATTTGCAACAGTCCTGTTTTTAGACCTACCTTTGCATCCCTTTCCAAGGTTACCTAAGCCAGCAATTCCTGAGCCTTTTGAGGGCCCTGAGGTAGAAATTAGGTTGCCACTGTGCCTGTTCCCCTGCTAGCTTTCTTCGGTCTATTAGCAGTATATGGGGTTCATTTGAGGATTTTATTAAAAATGCAGATTGAGGGGCGCCTGGGTGGTTCAGTCGGTTAAGCATCTGCCTTTGGCTCAGGTCATGATCCCAGGGGTCCTGGGATCAAGCCCCACGTTGGGCTCCCAGTTCACCAGGGAGTCTGCTTCTCCCTCTCCCCCTGCTTGTGCTCTCTCTCTGAAATGAATAAATAAAATCTTATAAAAAATAAAAATGCAGATTGATCCAGTAGGTCCAAGTTGGAGCCTGAGATTTTGTATTTGTAACAGCTCCTAGGTGATGCTATGCCTCTGCTCCTCAGACCACACTTTATGTAGCAGGATGCTAAGTCATTTGCCATTCATCCATTCATTTTCCAGCCTCTGGACTTTTTTTTTTTGGCCTGGTGTCTGCTATAAATTCTTTTGTCATAGGAAGTTTTTGCTTTTTTAAAAAATATTTTATTTATTTGACAGAGAGAGAGACAGTGAGAGAGGGAACACAAGCAGGGGGAGCGGGAGAGGGAGAAGCAGGCTCCCCACGGAGCAGGGACCCCGATGCGGGGCTTGATCCTAGGACCCTGGGATCATGACCTGAGCCGAAGGCAGACACCTAACCAACTGAGCCACCCAGGTGCCCCGGAAGTTTTTGCTTTTAAAAAATTTATGAAAAATTTCGGACATACATACAAATAAATAGAATAACCATTAACCTGTGGTCAGTCCTGCCCCATCTGTACTCCCATCAACCCCCACCCCAGCCAAACACATATACTGTATTATTTTGAAGCAAATTCCAGAGAACATATCTCATCTGTAAATATTTCAGTATGTATTTTTACATTTTTTGAATTACCATAGAAGTTGTTTAGGGCTGCACTCCTTGGCTAGCAGGAGCCACCTTCTTGGCATGTCCTTATGTGGTCTTTCCTCTGTGTGCACACAGCCCAGGTGTCTCTTGTGTGTGTCCAAATCTCTCCTTATAAGGATACCAATCAGATTGGATAAGGTTCCCCCCCGCCAGGTGGCCTCATTTCATTTTAACTATCTCTTTAAAGGTCTCATAATCAAATACAGTCACATTCTGAGGTACTGGAGATTAGGGCTTCAACATACGAATTTCGGGGACCACAGTTCAGCCATCACAAAATACCATTATAATGCCAAAAATTAATAACTCATTAATACCTCAAATTTCTAGGCAGTGTTCTAATTTCCAGTTTCTTATAAATGTAATTTTTTTTAAAGATTTTATTTATTTATTAGAGTGAGACAGTGCGCACAAGTAGGGGGAGTAGCTGGAAGAGGGAGAAACAGACTCCCCGCTGAGCAGAGAGCCAGATGCGGGACTCGATCCCAGGACCCTGGGATCATGACCTGAGCCGAAGGCAGACGCTCAACCAACTGAGCCACCCTGGCACCCCATAAATGTAATTGTTTCATTGAATTCAGGTAAGTTCTACGCGTTGCACTTAGTTGATGTACCTGAAGTCTCATCTTTTGTTATTGATACAGTTTACTGAACATACAAGTTGTTTGTCCTGGAGAGTTGACCTCCATCTGGATTTTGCTTACTGCATCTCCTGGGGCTATGTGACATGTTCTTTTGTCCTCTGTTTTTTCTAAGTAAGTAGTTGAATCTGCAGGCTTGGTCAGGTTCTGTTTTCGGCAAGTCTCCTTCATAGAGATGGTGGTACATCCTTCCATCTCTCCCTTTGGATGTTAGTAGCTACTGATGATTATTGGCTGCCTCCATTAATACATCAGGATTTACAGAATGGTGATTTTCAAATTTTATTATTCCTTATTCACTTATTAGAGTGCTTCTATAAAAGTAAACATCCCCTCACTATTCTGTCACCTAGTGGTACAGTTTTAAAAAAAAGAAAAGGCAGAAGAAAATGCTTGATTGTTTCCTATTTTTACCAGTTTAAAAACATAGTGACTTGGTTCTCTAGTGTCCTCACATGTAACAAATTAGGTTTGCTTGTTCATTGTAGAATCAGGTACAAATTCAATTTACTGTTAGTTTCGTGGCATTATGAGAGCAAGTAGAGGTAATTGCATTTATTCAAAATGCCATCTTTCATTGGAAGTTGTATCATAATTTATATAGACAATTTCTTATTGTTGGATATTTAAATTAATTCTTGGCTTTCACTTGTATATCCAATACTGCGAGATGAACATTCTTAAAAAATAAATACACTCATTTTCGGGTACAGTTTGAATTTTGAAAAATGTATCCTCTTGTTGAACCACCACCTCAATCCCAAGTATAGAACATTTGCATCTCTACGGAAAGCTCCCTGGTACCCCCTTGCCCCCACCTAGCCCCAGATTTCCACTGATGGTCTGTCTGGCTCCTGGATTAGTTTTGTTCTTCTGGAATTCCATGGAATCTTGCCGTCTGTACTCTTGTGTCAGGTTCTTTTCATTCAGCACATTTCTGAGATTTATCCCTGTGTAGCATATATCCTTTTTATTAATTCCTTTTTATTGTTGAGAAGTACATTATATGGGTACACTACAATTTGTTTATTCATCCTCCTATTGACGGACATATGAAACATTTCCAGTTTGGACCCATGGTGAATAAAGCTGCTGTACACATTTGTGTACACATTTTGTGGACATCTGTTTTCATTTCTCTTGGGTAAATAGCTGGATGAAATGGTAATTGAATGTTTAACATTGTCAGAAGGCTCCAAAGTGAGCAGTGTTTGAGAGGTCTGGTCCTTCTACTTCCTTGCCACACATGTACTGTCAGTCTTCTAAATGTTACTATTCTTGTGGGTGTGCAACAGCATCTCATTGTGGTTTTCATTTGCATTTGTGTCTGCTCTGTGTCTGTTCAAACCTTTTGCCCATTTTGCTAATGGGCTAATTGTCTTACTGAGTTGTAAGAGTACTTTTACATTCTGGATTCAAGTCACTGGTCACATCTTTATTATATTTTCTCCCAGTCTGTAGCTTTCCTTTTCTGTTTCTTAACTATGCTTTTAAAGAGAAGTATTTTTTTTAACAAGCCCAGTTTTTCAATTTGTGTATATGCACATGGATGTCCTAAGAAAAGCTATGCCTACTTTAATGGATTGACTAGGATCCCCCCAAAATTCATGTCCACCTGGAACGCAGCCTTATTTGGAACTAGGTTTTCAGATGTAATTAAGGTGAGGTCATATAGGATTAAGGTGGACCCTAAATGCAGTAGCGTTCTTAAAAAGAGCGGACACACCGGAGAAGGCCATGTAAAGACAGAGGCAGAGATTGGCAGTGTGCTGCTACAGGCCATGGATTACCAGCAGCCATCAGAAGCTGGAAGAGATGAGGAAGCATTCCCCTCGGGGGGCCTTCAAAGGGAGTGTGACGTGGCTGACACTTTGGTCTTCTGGCTTCTAGAACTGTGAGAACACATTCCTGTTGTTTTGAGCCACCCGGTGGTTAATTTGTTATGGCAGGCTGAGGAATCAGATACACCCACCCAGGATCACAAAGATTTTCTTTTTTCTTCCAGAAATTTCCATTTCACATTGGCATTTTTAAGTTTTTAAAAATTTTTAAGTCTTTTTAAGTTTTTATTTAAATTCCAGCTAGTTAACATACGGTATAATAATAGTTTCAGGTGTACAATATAGTGATTTCAGCACTTCCATACAACAGCCACTGCTCCTCACAAGTGCACTCCTTAATCCCCATCACCTATTTCACCCATCTCCCTCCCCACACACACATTTAGTCTTATCCATTCTGAGTTTATTTTTGTGTATGATGTGATGTAATTTTTCCCATATGGATATCCACTTTCCAGCGTCATTTTTAGAAGAGGCTGTCCTTTCCCCCATTGAATTACCTTGCTTTTGAAAATCAAGTGACCATAAATATGTGTCTATTTCTGGATCCTCTTCTGTTTCATTGATTTATAGGACTATCCTTATGCTGATACCACCCCCTCTTCCCTCTTTCTGTACCTTTATAACAAGTCTTAAAATCAGGTAGTATAAGTCCTCCAACTTTGTTGTTCTTAAAAATTATTTTGGCTCTGCTCAGTCCTTTACATTTCTATATAAATTGTAGAATCAGCCTGCCAGTTTCAACAACCAAAAAATATACTGAGTCTTCCAACCCATGGTATATATCTTCATTGATCTAGATCTTCAATTTCTTTCCGTATTGTTTAAATTTTTCAGAATACTGGGCGCCTGGGTGGCTCAGTCATTAGGCGTCTGCCTTCGGCTCAAGTCGTGATCCTGGGGTCCTGGGATCGAGCCCCGCATCGGGTTCCCTGCTCGGTGGGAAGCCTGCTTCTCTATCTCCCACTCCCCCTGCTTGTGTTCCCTCTCTCGCTGTGGCTCTGTCAAATAAAATCTTAAAAAAAAAAAAAAATTTTTTTTTTCAGAATACTGTCTTGCATATGCTTTGTCAAATTTATCCCTAAATGTTTCATATTTTTAATGCTACCACTAAAATGTTATTTCATTTTTCAGTTGTTTATGTGTCTAGAAATAGGATTTTTAAAAAACCTGCAACCTTGCTAAATTTACTTGTTACTTTTAGTAGCTTTATTATAGATTTAGATTTTCTAAGTACGTGATCCATGATTACAGTTTTACTTCTTTCTTTCCAGTCTTCATGGCTTTTACTTCCTCTTAAGGCGTTACTGCACTGGATAAAGTTTCCAAAAAAATGTTGAGTGAAGGGTGAATCTTAGGGGGGTAAATGGCCATTCTTTCATCACTAAGCATGACGTTAGATGTAGGTTTTAGGTTTTTCACAGCTGTTTTTTATCTGGTTGCCAAGTTCCCTCTTATTTTTTGTTTGTGGAAGTTTTAATCATGTTGGATTTTGTTAAGTGCTTTTTCTGTGTCAATTCAGGTGATTGTACAGTTTTTCTCCTTTATTCTGTTAACATAGTGAATTACATTACATTGATTTTTCTAATGTTAAACCAAGCTTGCATTGGCTGTGATGTATTAGGGTATATTCTTTATATATATATATATATGGGTTTACTTTGATAATACTTTGTTAAGGGTTTTTGACTCTGTTCTTGAAGGATGTTGATTTATAATTTAGTTTTTTTGAAATGTTTTTGCTTTTGGTATCAGGGTGATTTCGGTCTGGTAAAAGAAGTTAGGAGGTATTTCTACTGTTTTCTTTCAAGTTTGGTATTTCTTCCTTAAATGTTAGTAGAATTCATCTACATTGAGCCTAGGTTTTCTTCGTGGGAAGGTTTTTAAGTGCAATATCGGTTTCTTTAATAGAGATTGTTAGGGATCTTTTTGAATGAGATTTGGTAGTGTCTTTCCAGAAATTTGTCCTGTGACAGTCTCATTTATTAAAATTATTCATAACAGTCCCTTATTATCCTTTTAATGTTTGTAGGATCTGTAGTGAGGTCCTCTCTTTCCTAATTTTGTTAGGTTCTTGCTTAGTTTGGCTGAAGTTTTATCAATTCGCTGTTGTTGTTTTGCCAAGGAACCAGCTTTTGGTTCACTGGTTGTTCTGTTTGTTTTATAAACTTCATTGTTTTCTGCTCTTAGTGCCTTCCTTTAGCTTACTTTGGGTTTAATTCACCCTTTATTTAAGGTAGAAACTTACTAGGTCATTGAATTGAGACCTTCTTTTCCAATATAGACAAATATAAAGAAAATCAGAACAAAACAATGCAAAGGCAGTTAATGTATTGGAAATTAAAACTGAGTTTTTATTTTACCAATTTTCGGACATTTGCACTGTTGCTTTTCAAAGTTGTTTTCTTCTATTGCTTTTTAAAAATTCTGATAATATAAATAATACATGCTGTTGAAAAATTTCAAATTCTATGGAAATGTGTTCAGATAGGCCATAGGAAATAATCACAAAATCTTTGCAGCTTAATATGACAGACTTTAATTTCTTGTGTATACCATACATCCACTGCATCATCAGGGGCTTTGCTCCACACAGTCACTCAAGGACCCAGGTTAACAGAGGCCCCACCATTTCAAGCTGTACCATCTGGAACACATGGCCTCTTTATTCCCTGTGGCAGGAGAAGAGAACACTGAAGGGACTCTTCTCTGCAATTAAATGCTTTGGCCTCATAACGCTTTGGTTAGAGGTAGCCACATCATGGGCCCATCTAATTTTAAGGGTCAAAGAACTGAAATCTCCCTATGGACCCAGAAGCAGAGAAGTAGGTAGGAGTGAGCACTGTAATTCTATACTCCAGGAAAAAACAGATCACCTGTCATCTTACCCTGAGATAATCCCTACTTCGTGTCGTCCTGCCTGGCCTCGCTGCCCTTCCTCATGGTCAGCCTTATGTTTGGGGTTGGTGGGGATTACTCCTGTGATCTGACTAATCATTGATTCATATTTTGTTGTGTTCTACCTTTGCAGCTCTTATGTGATTTTATCAGTATACAAATGAGACTTGGGGAAGGGCAAATCAAGAATCCTTTGCTAGCTGCCTTAGCAACATAGAAATTTCAAGTTTCTTTTTAAAACCTTGCCTTAGAGTATCTCTGAAAGATAGACAAGTAACTGGTAACCATAGTTTTATCTAGGGAGGGAACTGGACTGGATAGGAGTTGGGGGTAAGGGGTGTTGAAAGAGTGGGCGGGATGAATAATTTTCACAGCATACACTTTTATAACTTGACTTTTATACCATGTAAATTATAATACCTATTTTTAAAAACAAGTTAAAAAAAAACCTGTTTCCTGTATTTTCTTAACTTTCTATATTGAATCTCATTATACTATGTAAATGAATGAAAGCATGTTTCTTTAAAAGTTGTCAGATGGTGTCATTTATATGGGGAATCTAAAACAAACAGAAAGTTCCACTCAGACACCGAGAGTGGAAAAATAGTTACTAGGGGCTGGGGGGTGGGGAAACAGGGAGAGGCTGGTAAAAGGGTACAGACTTTCGAGTATAAGATGAATGAGGTCTGAGGATCTAATGTTTAACGTAGCGACTGTAACTGATAAAACTGTATTGGTGGATAACTGAAATTTGCTTAAGAGAGAAGAACTTAAATGTTCTCAACAACAAGAGCAAAAATATGTGAGATAAGTATCGCAACTGATTACTTAATTTGACAGGGGGATCCTTTCACAATGTATACGTACACCAAATCATCATGTCATATGCTTTAAATGTCTTACAATTTTATTTGTCAATTATACCTCAAAAAAGCTGGGAAAGAGAAGACAGTAAAAAAAATAAAAAATTTAAAAAAAGTTGTCAGAGTTGAATGACATTTTTTAACTTTGACATATCATCAAGCAAGGACCATATTTTGAAAAGTTTCTTTACAGTTACCTTTTGAAGGAATAAAATTACATTATCCACATAGATTAGTTATGGTCCTTTGGGTATCTGTAATCATATAGTCACTTTTATTTGGATGTTACCTTTTCAGAACTTTTTCACATACATAAATTGATCTCTTTCTACATTTCCAGTTGTGAGTTGAGCCATAATGTAACTTACTGAAGAACATGAGCTTTGAATTCAGACCTGAGCTTGAATTTCAGCTCCATCATTTATCAGTCATCGATGACACCCTCAGGAAATGGGCTTATTTACCCCTGCACCTGCTTCCTCATGGGGAAAAATATCTTTTTGTGATTGTTGTAAGGGTTATTAGGTAAACGGTATGTACACCTGTGAACAAGGCTCAGTATGGTATTTCTACTATAGGTTTTCTCCATTCATTGGGATCAGCAAATCTAGCTACAGTGCTAATTCCATTTTCTGTACAAGAGTAGACCAGAATGTTAACCCTGCTCCTCTTTACATACCGCTGTTTGATGCAAATGGTTCTGTCAGACTTCTCTGAGACTGCATAACATAACTCTTTGATTATAATATTATGTATTTTTATTCTCAAACTCTCATGTAACACATGACTTTGCAAAAGCTACATGATGTGTGATATCACAACTGATTACAGATGAGAAATTCAGCTGCCTGCTATTGAGCTGAACACCAAAGGAGTTTGTGAAATGTGAAAAAATGCCACTCTGCTCACTAAATTTTTCCTTTTGGGAAAATATAATTTTTCATTAAAATGTTACTTACGTTACATGCAACAAGTGTCAAAAGGTCCTGAGACCAAATAGTTTGAGAACTACTAGTTTAGACTCCGAAGGCTAAGGGCAAAAACTGCAAGGCAAGCAAGACTTCTTTAAATAGATGCCATGTGATATGTACCCGTATCTCAGGGTCTTTGGGGGCTTCAACCTAAATGTATCCCCTGTCTTCCTTTCCCTGGAAAAAAAGTATATAAGCAGTTAATTACTGGCTCTAATCCCACAGAAGGTTAGTTTTTCTAAGAGAGTTGGAGCCAGTTAGATACACTGAAGTCCCACTACGACCGCTATTAATGATGGTTATTTATGTTTTCTTTCACACACAGCTTAGTCACATGGCATTTTGGAATGCCAGGTACCAAAAGTAAGATCACTGAAGGCAGTAAAACTGAGATTATCAGCCAAGAAAGACCTACTGGAGAAAGCAAAGTAAGTATGTTAAGTGTCGTGTGTTAAGAATTAATTGGGGTTTTTTGTTGTTGATTTGAGAGAGCTCAAGCAGGGGGTGGGGCAGAGGGAGAGGGACAAGCAGAATCCCTGCTGAGCTTGGAGCCCAGCAGGGGCCACAGGGCTTGCTGGATCCCAGGAACCTGAGATCATGCCCTGAGCGGAAATCAAGAGTTAGACGCTTAGCCGACTGAACCACCCAGGCGCCCCTGGGCTTTAAATAGGAACCCAGAGACTGGATCAGTGAAAAGAAATCATGGTTTGTTTCCTGCTAATTCTTCTAAACTGGCCAGATCGCAGAGCAAGCCCAAAGATGCCTTAAAAGGACTTCCACTTTAACTATTCACGTTGTATGTGAAACATGGGAGTTGATTCATACATAGTTTAAAAAATCATTTGGGAAAAGAGCCGTATCTTATAAATCTCTGGATTCCTGCAGTTATGGTGAACATTTTTCAAGGGAAAATTCAGTACAGGTAGCCTAGCAAAGGATTTTTTTTTGTCTTGGGAGGTTGCTTAAAGAACAAAATACTGGAATTTTGAATACTTTATGTATATACTTTATTTATAATACTTTCTATGTATACTTTATAACAGCTTATGGGGAAGTGTGGCATAAAATTGGTATCATGAGAAAGTTTTGACTGGTTTCCAGGATCAAGATATTCAGGAACCAGTGTAAAACGACTAGAACCTTGTGTTCCGATATCCTTTTGATTGCTTGTTATTGCCTCGAGTTGCGTATCTTCCTAGGGCCTTTTCCCCTCATCTGTTTCTTTCAGCTTTCTGATTCTCTTACACATTCCATTTCAAACTTGTCTTTATTCTTCCACTCCTCTTCTAAAGAGGTTCATGGCTGGTGCCTTGGGTGGCTATCACTGATCATCCTTCTCCTCAAGGTACTTTCTTCTTCCGACTGGCCTGCTTTTCTGTCCTTCCAGTTGGCCCCCGAGAGCCAGTGAGGAAATGGAAACTCCGGAAATATCCCTTGGATGCTGACCACTTAAACATGGATTCCTTAGCCTAATTTAATTTCGGATGAGAGAATACAGATAATTCTATTTCTTTTATCCTAAAGATTTTTTTTTAGATGGGTCTTTATAAATATGAACCTACTCTATTTACCTTCTTCACACCCCTTCTAAACAACACTGACTATTTAAAACAGCCTGTTTTTCTTCTTGGCACAAGGAGGACGTCATATATTCTTCATCCCATCTGGGCTTCCTTATCCAAACATCACCACTTATAAAGCCAGTGGCATTTGTCAAGGTGTGGTAGCCATGAGTCTATGCCTTTGTACATCAAATCTGAATGGAACTTTTTGGTAAAGGGTCAAGTTAAACTACATATATAATTTGGAAAAAAACTGAGCATCCAAAAGACCTTGTTTCATTGGTTCTTTTATGATTATGAAAATAGGTATTAACTGATTTTTGTAACTGTCTTTATACTTTTTTATATACACGTGTGTGTGTATATGACACACACACACATATAATTTGTGTACCTTAGTAAGTCAGCTTATGAAATGGTAGATTTATAGCCATGACAGTGTGGTAAAGAAAAAATCATTCATGACCCTTGTTAAAGAACAGTAAGGCAGACTCTTATCCAGGACCTTTGTGCTAGGTGTAGGGACCACTACAGTGGGATTTTGCAGTTGGGTAGAAAGATTGGGCTCAACTCTGAATACAGCAAGGAATAGTGGGAATTTATAGCCAAGGAGCAAGGTGGAGGTTAGTGGGTGGAATATTACTGAGGAAACATCAGGGATAATAAGGGATTCTTGCTAAAGGCAGGACAGGGTGATAGGTCATCATTGGAAGATGGTGTGGGATAAGGAACCCAATCATATTGAAAGAGGTCAGATCCTGAGAATGACAGAGTCTGGCTAACCTCACTCAGCAGGATTCTTGATAAAGTTGGACAATGAAAAGAACACGGAAGCTCAAGAAATCAGTTGAACTCTCTTCTCAACACGGATGGAAAGACTGTCAAGATAGGGTTCAGTCTGTCAAGAGAACGGATAGCCTTCCCTCACCCTGATTTTTTTTCTTTACCCTCAGTCAATATCCTCAACTACTCCCTTGAAATTATTTAATCATCATTTATCTGGTTTTAGGCAAATTGTTTTTTTTTTTTTACTTTTCAGACTTGATATTCTTTTTTCCTTTAAGTTTGAGAAATTCAGAGAAACCTATATCTCAGTGAGTACCCTTTTAGTCTTTTTCTCTACATGTATAATGTCTTAATAATTAGATGTTGCTGCATAATTTTGTAACCTGCAATTCACTTAACTAAACATACTGTAGAAATTTATATTTTTTAACATGTAACAAATTCATTAGGCTTAACATTTAACGAGTACAAAAGAGGAAGAGTGAAAACTTAAGTCTTCCTCCTATCTGGAGAAGCATTTTTAATAGCTGCCTAACAGTATATCATAAGGATGTACCATGTATCATTTTTAACCCATCTCCAGTTGTTGACATTTGTGAGTGGGTTTGTTACTGTTTCATTATTTATAAACACTGGTGGAACAGCCTTACAGAAACAACTTTTGGTCAACCCTGTGATTTTTTTTTTTAATGATAAATTTCTTGAACTACCTTCCATCCTTTTTTTTTTTTTTTAAGTAATCTCTACCTCCAGCATGGGACCCAAACTCACTACCCTGAAATCAGAGTCGCAAGCTCTACCAACTGAGCCAGCCAAGTGCCTTCCTTCCGTCCTTTTTCTGATTTCTTCCCCTTTGACCTTTCTTTTTCATCATCTTCTTTTTCCTGCCTCCAAATGCCTTAGTCCCTCAAGCCTCAACTCCTGTTCCTTGGCCTTTACCTAGCAATTCTTAATGTTCTCTCGTATCCATACTCAACCCCTATTCCTTCCTCGGATTCTGTCATCTGTCCAGGTGCCGTATCTGAAGATCATGTCCCAAAGTGAAATCTTTTTCTTTCCTTTACCTATGTCCCCAGTGTTTTTAGCTTTACCATCTGCTTTGTATCTTCGAGTTTCAGAATGATGATCCTGTGGCAAAATGCTATCCTACATTTCACTGACAAAAAGAAACCTGGGTGGCTAATAATGTTCATGGTCTGGAGTCAGAGTAAAACTGGGTTAACAGCCATCAGTGATTGTTACTGTTATTCCTCTCAGGCTGCTATTTTAATCCTGTGTTTTGGTTCTGGTAGATAAAAGTACTTTTCTGTCTCTACAAGTTATTAAAACCTGTACTTTTACAGAAGTTGTAGTAACTTATATGTAAATTTTTGCTTATAGATCTGAGAGTTCTGGACCATCTGGGTCTCAAAAAATGACCAAAGTGTACACATTCTTTCTGATCATATTCTGTATTATGAGAAATATAAATTCCTATTTATATATTTATAGTGGACCCTTGAACAACACAGGTTTGAAGTGCAAAGGTCCACTTACATGCAGATTTTTCCAATATGGGACAGTGCTACATATGTATTTTCCTTATGGTTTTCCTAATATTTTCTTTCTAGCTTACTTTACTGTAAGAATACAGTAATGTAACACATATACAAAATATGTGTTAACTGACTTATCAGTAAGGCTTCTGGTCAAGAGTAGGCTATTAGTGAAGTTCTGGGGGAGTCAAAAGTTATATACAGATTTTTGACTGTACAGGGGATCAGCACCCCGACCCCTTCCTTGTTCAAGAATCAACTGTAATTATTTGGGAAATGAGTGGATTAAATAAGTTAAGAATAAAGTTTTTTTGTTTTGTTTTTTTAAAGATTTTATTTACTTGACATTGGGGGGAGGCAAGCAAGGGGAGGGGAAGAGAAGCAGGCTCCCCGCTGAGCAGAGAGCCCTATGTGGGGCTCAATCCCAGGACCCTGAGATCATGACCTGAGCCAAAGGCAGACACTTAACCGGCTGAGCCACCCAGGCACCCGAGAATAAAGCTTTAAATTAGACATACCATGAGGTTTTCTTTTCGTTTTTCCTTACAGGGATGGAAGCAAAAGTGAAGCAGTGTTTTATCCTATGTACTTCAGCAGACCTTCTGCAATTCAGCTAAAACTATGACTGCTCTTTCTTCAGAGAACTGCTCTTTTCAGTACCAGTTACATCAAGCAAATCAGCCTCTAGATGGTAACTGTCTGCTATTCTTGATTATACTTGGGAAGATACTACTGAATATCCTCACATTAGGAATGAGAAGAAAAATCACCTATCAAAATTTTATGGAATATTTCTGCATTTCACTAGCATTCATCGATCTTTTACTTTTAGTAAATATTTCCATTATATCCTATTTCAGGGATTTTGTACTTTTAGGCATTAGGTTTACTAAATACCACATCTGCCTATTTACTCAAATTATTTCTTTCACTTACGGTTTTCTGCATTATCCAGTTTTCCTGATAGCTTGTATAGATTATTACCTGAATTTCTCCAGAACCACAAAGTTAGCATTTAAGTGTCAAAAATTTTATTTGTTTATAGTAATTTTAATTTGGATTTCAGTCCTTGCTTATGTTTTGGGAGATCCAGCTATCTACCAAAGCCTGAAGGCACAGAATGTTTATTCTTATCAGTGTCCTTTCTACATTAGCATTCAGAGTTACTGGCTGTCATTTTCCATGGTGGTGATTTTATTTATGGCTTTTCTAACCTCTTGGTCAGAAGTTACTGCCTTGGTACAGGCTGTTAGGATGACTTCCTATATGAATGAGACTGTCCTATATTTTCCCTTTTCATCCCATTGTAGTTATACTCTGAGCTCTAAAAAAACACTCTTGCCCAAGTTCATTATCTGTTTTCTCGGTACCTGGTTACCATTTGTACTACTTCAAGTAATTATCCTTTTACTTAAAGTACAGATTCCAGCATTTATTGAGATGAACATTCCGTGGTTGTACTTCGTCAATAGTTTTCTCATTGCTACAGTTTATTGGTTTAATTGTCACAAGCTTAATTTAAGAGACGTTGCATTACCTGTGGATCCATTCGTCAACTGGAAATGCTGCTTCATTCCACTTACAATTCATAATCTTGAGCAAATTGAAAAGCCTATATCAATAATAATTTGTTAATGTTGCCATGTTAAAACTAATTAAAACTGACAACTACAGTAGGAATCATAATTTTACAAAGGGAAAGGACATACAAAGACTGAACTGAAGGTCCCCTCCCCGGCCCCAACTTTCATACCTTTTCAGAATGTGTCTTTTGGGACTATGGTATTAAAAACAAAATAATTCCAAGAAAATTTTTTATACCTGTTCAGGAACACAGCATGTTACCAATATCAATTTAACACAAAAGTGAAGCGAGTTAATATTTGGCCATACTGATTTCATGTTACCCAAAAAACTAGTGGATGCAAACTGTTAGTAAATCTGAGCTTCTCTGCCAGTGATATACAAATGTAAATAAACATTTTTATTAAATTCAGAGCAAGAAAATCAAGATCATTTTCTTAAAATTTGGTATAAATACTCCTTTAACATAAAGGGAAAATTAGCTCGATTTAAATTTAGGTAATTTTCAAAAATATATCTCTGTTCTTAATACAGATATTCCTGGAAGAAAAGTTTGTTGCTCACCTTACAGAACTGGGAGTAGTGACTAGGTCTCTTTCCATGACATACCAGATTCATTTTCATTTATAACTTATATGTCACATACTTGCATATCAAATCATAATCACATGGGCAATGTATCACACTGTAAAAGTAAAGGAGGGTTTCTTATCCTCAGCACTGTTCACATTTTGGGTTGGGTAATTCTTTGTTGTGGGAGACTGCCCTGTGCATTGCAGAGTCTTCACCAGCGTGCCTTCTCTGCCCAAGACACGCCAACCACAACATCTCCAGACACTGCCAAACCTCCCCTGGTGGGCAGAACTGCCAGAGTAAAGCCATCTCAATGGTAGGAATCAACTGAAGTCACTTTGTTCAACTACGTAGATACTGTCTATAACTATCACCATTTCTAAACCTTGTCCCCTCTACTTCTCTGGGTTACTTTCCCTCTGACTGTACCACTTTCTAACTGGCCATTACCTAGGACTGAGATACTTTAAAATATAGTGTACTTAGTAAAGATTTATACTCTGCAGATTATAAATAGGCAAACTTGTAACTATTTCAAAGCCCTCATAAGCTTAAAGAAAAAATTAATCAATAGACCAGCCAAATGGAAGAGGCTTTTATTTGTAAAGAAATGAACTTACAACTGGTCTACAATATATTATTGTAATATAAACAATATAAATAAATGATCCTGTAGGCCCACTAACCTTCCATCCAGACCCACATGAGGCAATGTTAACAACAATATTCTATATGAAAATGTGCAGGTAACAAAGGTGCAATTACAAGCAAGTTTAAGCAGCAGAGTATAAGGTGCTTTAATTTAACAGTTAATGTTGCCATCAACAAACATTTGAATGTTCAATTTTACTTCACTGAATACAGACACAACAAATATGAAAATCTAAAATTCATACACATGCTACTTATTATGAAAGTGCTTTCTCTTTTAAAAAAATACACCAAATGGACAGTCTTTTTACATAGATCATGGTGTGCTCTTATAATGCAAAATTAACTTCATTTTCAGGTTATACATTTTAAAACTGTAGCTACAGACACCAATCTAGGAACGCTAATGCTAAGAGTGCTAAAACTATTTCATTTCCTGTAAGGAGGACTCTAATACAATATCCAATGGAAAGAATACATCTATATATAATCTTAACATCTGTTTTCTGTAAAAGTAAAAAAGGTTTCCTTTCCCCTTGGTGATGCTTTGTTCAACCTGGGTAGATGAGCTTTTGAGGTTTTAGTAATATGAAAGTCCTATTTTAGAACAATGGGAGGAACCAAAAGGAATTTAAAAATCAGTTAATGTGTGCTTGAAGCATCAGAAAAAAAAATTACAACAATCTGCCTTTGTTAAATCAACAAAGTAACATTTTTTTTAACAAGCAAGAAGACAAAAAGCAGTAATTTAACAGAGGCTTGAAATGCCCACCCTCGCCTCTCCTGTCAGTACCTCTCCACACACTGTGTCTACAACTCCAGCCTTCACCACAGCTCACTCCTCACTCTGAGGATAGTTTTTAGAACTCATTTTGACTTTTTTTTTCCTGTGGAAAAAAGACCAAGCTTCTGAATGAGGTGACTGGGAATCTTAAGTGTATTGGCAATCAGACATCTGTAATTATGCACACTGCATCAGCTTTTTTTAAAATTCAAGAATACATATACAAAAAGTATGCTATAGATATTTAACACCATAAAATATTTGAAAAATTAGGTGAATTAAAACATTTTAAAAGTAAATTTTAATGAGGACCATGGCAAATTCTTTTAAACCCAGACTGTTTGGTTACTTGGATGTCAGTGTTCTATTTTCAGTCAGTTTTAGATTCTAATCTAACATGTACTGGGACATTTTCCTGCTTTAAAAGCTGCAACAGTGATGCATAAAAAAGATCTTTTTTAATATTAGGTATTTTTATTTTGAGGGGGTGAGAAAAAAAGATATTTTCATTTTGTATTTTTATGGAGAATGCTAGCATGATGTTAATCTGTATTGCTGGAACAACAGAAATTAGAACATTTCACAGAACCCCCAAGTGGTTAGGAAACTACCCAGCTAATGCCATTCAATATTTATTCCCCAAATAGTTGTCAATTCAAGCATGGAATGGTTTTATGTTGACCAGTTCTGCATTTTAAAGGAAACCTTTTTAACTATGTAATACATGTGTTTTCTAAAAAGTAGGTATTTGTAATAACAATAAGTTTTGTGTAATTTCTTGCTTTATCAACAAAAGACAATAAAAAACAAACCTGTTTAGCGAGATTCTCCTTTGAGACTTTTCAGTTTTAGAAAGTTACTCCACTGTCAATACTGGGTGTAAAGCTTTTGTAGTTACAAATGTATAGTAAATCAGCACCAGCTTCTTTGTATTGTTCTGTCATACACCCTGTATAGTAACACCTCTGGAATAGATTCAAGGGTCAAAATAATTCTGAGAAATATGAGCTGTCACAACAGTCTCAAAATGTAAATCCTTATCAGGTACCCTGGATTGCGTAACCAATAATCAGGTATATGACTATGATTTGTATGTGAAATGTGTTTTAGGAATATTGTGCTGTGATTCATTCTGACCCCTTAGATGTCATCTAGCTTAATACTTTTATTTACCCAGTACATAAAAATTTCCTTCTCAGTTCCAACTTTACATTCAGTACAGTAAGTAATAGTAATAATAATGTCCATGTTTGTTTAAAGCCACAATCAGAATTGTTTGGGAAGATTTTGTGTACTTATTAGCAGTTCCTTAAGTCATGTATACCACACGCTGCACATAGTAAGTGTTCAAATGGTTTGCTAAATGAATGGATAAATGCATGAATGACAATGTTCATATGTGTTTGTATGTTCAGTGGTTAACTAGTAGGAAGCATTTACAAAAATGCCCTCATTTGCTTGTCTGTACAATTTTCCTTCTCTAGTTTAAACCATTAAGAGAACAAAAACTGCAGGTGGCCCAGGAAATGGATGCTTAACATTTATCTTTTAGCAAAAGCTCTTAGTATGTAATGAACCGTTCCAAAGGGAAAGAGAATTAAGTAGAAGCAACTTTAAAAATACCCCATTATGTGGCCTAGAATCATAGTTTTAGAGCTGGGAGGTACCTTAAAGATGATTTAAACCAAAATCAGCCTTTTGAGTAGTAGAGGCTCCATACTGTGTATTCAGAAGATGGAACAGATTAAAAGCAAAGGAAGGGCTGAAGGTGTCACACGCCACTAAATCACCAACTGCAAGTAAAACGCCCAGCCCCCCCAACCAGCGTTTTATCTTCTTTCATGTTAATTTAATGATTATGTTCATCTATTATTTACTACTGAAGTAGACTATTTAGTACTACCTAAAACAAAAAGAATTAAGACTTTAACAACACATTCTAAATAAAGATTTTAAGCAATGGACACTTCTGGTTTGCTTGAGGCAAAACTAAAAAAAAGTTCCTTCTTTCTAGAACAGATTCACGCTTATTTCACTACCAGGCCCACCACTATCTATAAACACCAACTTCTTCACCTCCATTAATTAAAGCTCCACAAAACATGGGTTTAACACTGATAACAGTCCCTAGAGCATAACTTTTCAGCCAATAACTGATGGCTACTATCAATTCTTAAGATGATGACTGGAGTCAGTTGAAGCAGGCGGTCTCAAAGGACTTACTGACTTCCGCTTATATTTAAAACTATGCCATGTTAGCAGAACAGTATGTTAAATTTATATTAAGTTCTTTTTTCTGACTTAAAATTCATCACTAGACTTCTTTCCAACAATATATTTTAGGACCCTTGTAAAGGTTTTCTTTCTATGGATTCATACTGACATCAATATCACAGAGAGCAATTATACTTTTCAAAAGCAGTGGGAACTTCTCTAATGTACCCTCTTCTCCAACATCTGAGATTAAAATTGTCATCTTTAAATAAAATTAAATGTTCACAAGCTATAAAAAAAAGAAAAAAATGAAACATGCAAGGAAAACCTTTCCTAAAAGGACCTATAAACATGGCACTGAAGAGGTGTGTGTTCATGAGTTCGAGCAGAATGGGGTTTTCATTAGAGAAGCTGGGCCTCAGAGCTGAGGAGGAGGGAGACCGCTCCCTTTTAATGTCTGTGAGTTCAAGTGAAAGTTCAGAAAAAGCCAAACACCGTGCTCTGGAAAATGACGCTAATTTGTATTAGTGCTTTACAACTTTCAAAAAAAGCTTTCTCATAGTATTATTTTAAAATAGATTAAATAAGCTCTAAAAAATAATATGTAAAACTTTAAATTCTTAAAAATTTAGGAAACTTTTTCCAAAGAAGATAATATAATTTTCAACATTTTTTTTATTATTATTGAAGAAATGGCTTGTATTGCTGGTATGAAGGAAACTATATAGTGGTACATATTATGAACTAACAAAAAAGGAATATCTTCCCAAAGAATTTTTTTAAGATGTACAGTTTATAATAGGTTGAAATTAAACTTTAGTAAGATTGCATATTTATTTTTCTAATACTGTATTTGTGCTTATCTAAATTGGATCACAATCTTTAAGATTAAATCAAATGCTCTTAAATAGACTCATAAAATACCAATATTGATGAATGTGAATTAAACAGTTCATTTCATGATCCACACTACTGTGCATCAAAGAAATAGAGGTAGGCTTCTGTTGAAATCCATACTAATAACAAGCAAGCTATAGCTCTCTAGTCATCCAATTCTTAGATACAACCTAACAAATAAAATACTATCTTAAAATGCCTTTATAACAATCTACAAGTTTGGTTCAACTGTGGTATCTGAAAATGGATACTGTCCTCTATAATTCCAATAACTCAATTATAATAATTAACCT